GTAATTAAAATGGAACTATACACGCTTCAACAACGCATTCTATTGTAATTATTAAAAATCACTTTGAAAATTCAATTGAAAAATCGTCTTTACCGATGACGTTCACTTCCACCTCCATGGCTACGTCAATCAGCAAAACTGTCGCATCTGGGGCTCGGAAAACCCTACATTTATCTTGAAAAATCTCTCCATCCTCAACGTGTAACTGTTTGGTGCGATTTATGGACGAAAATGTATGGATTGCGCTATCAAGAGATGAGATAATTGATTTTTAAGGCTTAATATGGATGGTATTGATCTGGAAAACGTTTATGTTCAACAAGAAGGCACTTCGTACCGCTAAAGCAACTAAACCATCGATCTTTCAAGGGAAAAATTAATTTCAATATCAAAATAACACCAATTATTGGAAATCCCAATATGTCTGTAGAAAAATATAGTAATAACTGAAACTCAATTAAATAAAATCCTCTTCAATAAGAGCTATTCATTTAGAAAAAAATATATCAGGTGTACAACTTTGCTTCCGCCGTTTTCCGATAGGTGGCTGTACCGGCAGAGGCTGGTTAAATACATAGATGATAATGCCTTTAAAAAGAGTGTGGACAGTGCCTAACGAATTGTCGTCGCCGTTTCAGTGACAGTTGTTCTTATTTTTGGATTTTTCACGCTCGAAAATGTCCGCTTATGTGACTAATTCTCGCCCTTTGCGGGAAGTTTTATTTTTCTGTTACAATTCGACGCTCTCAGAAACTTACGGTGATGCTGCTCTGAGTGAAAGAACGTGTCGGGAGTGGTTTCAACGTTTTAAAAATGGTGATTTCGATGTCGAAGGCAAACATGGTGGTGGAAGAGAAAATACCTTCAAAGATTTACTACGAGCTCTTAAAACCGGGTGAAACCATCACAGGAGATCGCTACCGAACGCAACTGATGCGCCTTAGTCGCGCGCTAAAAGAAAAGCGGTCACAATATCAAGAGCGACATGACAAAGTCATCCTCCAACACGACAATGCTCGGCCTCACGTCGCAAAAGTGGTCAAAAAGTACCTGGAAACGCTGAAATGGGAAGTCTTATCCCACCTGCCGTATTCCCCAGATGTCGCCCTTCTGACTTCCACTTATTCCGTTCGATGGCACACGGCCTGGCAGATCAACATTTTCAATTTTTCGAAGAATTGGAAAAATGGATTGCTTCATGGATAGCGTCAAAAGAGGACTCCTTTTTTTCGAGCCGGGATGCGAAAATTGCCGGAAAGATGGGAGAAAGTTGTCGCTAGCGAAGGACAATACTTTGAATAATATATCTGTAGCACTTTTTCGCAATAAAGCTTTTAATTTTGGAAAAAACCGGCGGAAGCAAAGTTGTGAACCTGATATTTTTCTTCTAAACTCCGACTAAATCGAAATTGTATGATATAATATAAAGAAATTAGGTGTTTATTATTTGAATAAATTCAATATTATTAGCAGAAAATATAATAATTTGCTTATGTTTTTGGACGTGCAGGTAAATAAATATCTAGTTACAAACTCTAACCTCACATACTCGTATGAACGTGGTGATGAAAGTATAGTTATAAAGCTATGTTAATAATTCACATGAACTTTTTAGTAGAATTGTAATAGCTACACATGAATGTACTCGAACAAAGCGCACACTATATCAAAAACAAATATTACTCCACATTTCTATTAATTACTTATCAAACATAAAAATAGTTATTGGTTATATTGGCGAAATAAAAATGGTGCCTGATCGTTCATTTTACGTAGTTTGAAGTTTTATGCCGTCAACTCGAAAGGCGAACAAATGAGACTCTTTTTTTTTTAGATTCATATGATTGATTGTATTGTACATGTTCACTATGAAAAATTCAATGTGGAGAAATAAATGTTAATTATGATCGCTTGATTTTATTGTATCTCAATTCCAATATGATTTTTATACTTTTTATTTCTTTTTAGCTGGTAAATGCTTATTTAGATTTTTAGTTTAGCTTTCGAAGAACATCCATATGTACATACGATGGAGAGTTTTTATGTTAGCGGAGTGAGAGGGTTGCAACTTAATATCGCGCCCTTATAATATGAATATTATAAATGATTTGTCATTGATTTACGCGACCATAATGGCAGCCGAGCATGCGCACGCCTCCGCAGCAAAACCATCGTTCACAATAGCCGTGTTGCGTTGGCTGAACGTGATGATGTGATTCAATATTTTGAATCTAACTAACTTTTAACTGTTTTCAAAAATTAAAAAAAAAACTTATGGGTGGTGAAAACCATATCAACGATGATCAAGTCTAGTCGGCGTATTTTGAAGATAAAAAAACGATGCAATGAAAAGCAGTAGCAATAGCCGACTGGCTATTATTCTGCCATTCGGGAGGTCAGGGTTTGAGCCCTAATAAAAAAAATTAATTTTTCTCATTGCGATCGCCCCTCGACAAGGACTATCAAGTCCTCCAAATGTATTTCTGACATAAAATAAAGCTCCTCAGACGTTCGGAGTCGGCTTAGTATAAACAATAGGTCCCATTTGTTGGAAGAAAAAAATATAAAGCCAAAAATTGCTGGAGGAGCTTGGCCGAAAATCAAGGCAGAGACTACAAAGCGTCAATATTACATACAGTGGGGAGCAAAAGTGATTACACGATCAACGATTTCATGTTTGAGCTCACATAAAAATTAAACGAATAAAGTAAATGACAAAAACTTTTTTTATGAACACCTTGTTTATTTCTTACAATTAGGCGTATATAGCAAAATAGAAAAAGATGAAAGAAGAAGAAGAACAAACGACTTGGACTCAGTTTTGCACCATCATTTATTCTCTCATATTTTTGCTCTTCTTACTTTCTTATCAGCAATAGACCTGCAGATTATCCATTAAGGGCCTTTTGCACTTATTATTCGTTGTCAGATTTCCGAATATCACTATCTTTCACTAGTTTATAGTTGATTTGTTGAATTTGGAACTGAGTCACTAACTATTTGCTGAAAAATGAAGAAGGTGATAAAGAAAATAGTATGATCTCCCTGACTAAAAGTGCTGAGAAGCTGCAAATTAGTCAATCAGTGGTTGTCAAGGTGAAGAAAAGGCAAAATGTTTGTGTTGAAAAGAAGTTGAATGGTCGCCGTTGCCTTCTAACAGACTCTGACACTCGACTTATGAGATATAAATAAAGACTTGAGTCGATGGACAGTTGGAAGAGCGCTTGGTAGGATTGGGTACGTCGCAGCAGTGAAAAAAAAACCAGGTTTGATGGAAAGCAATATTGGAAAGCAGAGACTTGGTGACAAGCTTCAAAGGTATCACAATGCACAAAATTGTCGGGATTATGCGAAAGGAAGACTATTTGAGCATTTTGCAAACCCATCTGCGTACCCAGGGCATGAAATCTCTTTTCAGCAAGATGGGGATACCAAGCACACTACGAAAATTGTCAAAGAATGGCTCGGAAACCAAAATTCTAAGATGATGGTGTGGCCAGTGCAAAACCTATGATCAAACGTAAAGCGACGGCTCGGGCAGTATCAATCAGTCTCATTCAGTTTGGATGTATTTTAAAAAATTTTAAAGTTTTATCATTTACTTCGTTCGTTTAGTTTTAATGTACTCCCAAACATGAAAAGGTGGATCGTAAATCACTTTTGCTCCCCACTGTATGTAATATTATATAATGAAATTAATTGAAATACCTGTAAATTTTATTCGTCATGCAGAATGGGAGGTCATGTTAGCGGAATGGGAGGTAAGGAGTGAAAAAATTTAATTTGTTAATAAAATTTTTTCACTCCTTACCTCCCATTCCGCTAACATAAAAACGAGTATAGAAAAACCTTAAAAATCATGCCTATAAATATGAAAGCAGCTTCGATGAGATTCGAAAATATTTCGAAACACAATTTTAAACAAATTATAATTATATTTAGTGACAAACGTATCGTCTACTAAGGGATAATACAAAATCTTGGATTTTTAAATGCAATTAAATATTGAAAAGCATGAATTAAGCTATGAAAAAATCAAAACAGCCATGGAATTGTTGTGCACTTTTGGTCACAAATTTTAATTGATACTGAATTTGTTCTATAACAGACTGTATTTTTTTTTTTAAACTACGCTTATACTACCTTTCTTTAGAACGGCTCTTATAACAAATTGAAAAATCTATTTTGAACATGCACATAAGGGAAAACTTAAAAATATCTTTCTTATGGCGTTTTCAATTCTTAGAAAAATATTGTCTTATCACAATGCCAACTGTACTAGAATTGTTTAATAATGAGAACACAATCGCGTTCTACAATAGTACAATATTTAATTCATCATGGAAAAACTCCCGCTAATGTGAAAAGGCTGTGAACACTAAAAAGGCAATATCATCCCAGTATAGAAAACATCATAAAATACCTATTTTTTAATAATATTCTAACATTTTTTTTATAGTGGTTTCTTTACTTATTTAACCTATTTCTACAAACTTCATTATTACCATTAGTCATATTAAAAGTTTTAGTTGCACTAGCTACTTGAAAATATATGTACTATGTATGTATGTATATATGTAATATAAACACCATTCACCACTAAGAGTTTGTGAATGAAAATTAGTTATTCGATACGAGTGCGCCTTAAGCATCCAGTTAGCATCCGTAGTTGAGAGTTTTTTAATTATTTACAAAAAAAAAACTATGAAAATTATGTTTTGAATTGAAAATTCATATGAATAATGCCGAAATCATTAAGTAGGCATGGATGCATTGAATAATGTGCAAACAATAAATAAAAACTCAATACTGCTGCTGCCCGCATTTAGAGTTTACCGTGTGATTTTTAAGTGTGAAACTGCAAATATTTTTTTTTTTTTTTTAATTTTTTTTTTTTACTTTTGTACTATTTTCATACTTGTTTTTTTACGTTTTGTGCACGTTTGTGAATTTTTTTTTTTGTGTTTTGCTTCGTTTTTTTTCTATTTTTTGATAATCACCTCACTGATAAGTGGCTCCGCTAAGTGGTTATCGGTGACTCTGGTCATTACGGTTTCCGTAAATGTGGATTTCGTTATTGTTTCAGTAATGCGCCCCAGTTCTGTGGGTGCTGCCGGGAACATGGGCAGATCTGGCACAGCTTTATTCACCGTTACGGTTACTGACGGTCCAACGCCCACCTCGTTGCCACTTGCCACATTTACCTGATGTTGACTACCACCGCTTAGGAAGTGTGCCGGTATCATAGCTTGGAAATCTTCACTAGTCAGTGGCCGCAGCGGAGGCACCTTCATTGATTGAGCGCAAGTATATTCCGATATAGGATGCCATTGCATTTCACATGGCATTCGTTTTATTTTTATTATTTTCATTATTTATTTATTTTTCATTTTGATTTTGTAGATATTCAGTGACGTGATGATGCATTTTCAATTGATTATTCGATTGGTTGGTTGGGTTGCGATTTAGTTAAATAGTTTCAAAAATTTTTATCAAATCAAAAGAAAGAAAAGAGAAAATAATGCTTGTTTAGGTTTTTTGGGTTATAAATTCTGCTTAAATAATTAGATTTTAGTGTCGATGCGTTAAAGCACATTTGCGTTTAAATTATAAGAAAATTATAATAACCAAAGATAAGCCTATATCATTATGTTGTTTGTAAATTGTATACATATTATGTATTAACTATTTACTATAAAAAAGGAAGATATACATATATTTATATAGTTATATATTATATTAACTAAATCAAATAAGATATCCGAGAATGTATGGTATAAACAAATTTTCTTTATAAAAGTAAAAAAAAATGGATGTTTTAAAAAATATGTATGTAGTACTTGTAGCGAAACGAAACAATTTTCGATGATTTAACACAAATGTAATAAATTCATATGCGTATGTAGGTGTATAAAGGATGGTTAAATATTTATACGTATACATATTATGGGGTGCAGGAGTTTACACTGGGTCTGCAAAATACATACAAACATTAATTAATTTCATCCAACATTTGAACTATATGTATTCATGCAATATACACAACACAAACACAATATTGCGGTTAATTAGAAATAAAACTATTATCTATTTATTTTGGATTAGCACACAATAAATATATAAATAATGATTTCAAATATATACTCCCTAAATAATGGATTTAAATTATTTAGAAAATATCATCAACAATTGTTTGTTATTCAAAATTAAGTATGTATACAAGTTTATTAGCGTGCATGTGTGCGCCAATGCAATGTGAAAATCATAATTTACCACAAAAATTTTACCAATGCGCTCACTTACCTCTCACTCTGGAAACTTTAAGAGAAACCCCTCACTGCTACACGCATTTAAATAACACTGAAGTTTTTAATAGAATATGAGTATTCAATAATTGAAGACAAAATATATTGTTCTTACTGAGCTCACATAATGTGGTTAGCCAAAGATAAATGATTGCAACTAAATTAATTTTCTGCTTGATTAAAGAATTATGAATTAAATGTAAAAATAACTCACTCTAGTTTTCAACATATTTCATATTAATTAGTGTGTAGAATGACACAATAAATACCACTAAAAATCATTAAATAATTTGTATGCTTTAGTCGAGTGTATTTCTGATACAAAACTGAGAAAAAAAAAGTTTCTTATGAAATGTCAGTTATAACTTCGGGCGAAAAGTTTGGTTTTAACATTACTAAATAATTTATAATATAACTGTGTTTTTCTAAGTATATTTCCGAAGTTTTATAAAACTTTAAACTTACTTTTTGGTTAACCTTTTTTCGAAATCTCGAAACGTATTTATAAAAAAAAAAAAATTTCTAAAAATGTTTACTCAACTCCATTGCGTTACTTACCTTTCAACGAGCGTTAACTGCAATTTCAAATTTCATTGGTAAATTATGATTTCACAACAGCAAGTATTTCAAAAGCATAAAATCAACCTAGAGCTTGCCATAAACGCTAAAGCACGATTCAATTCGTAAGCATTTACATATGTGTGTTACAAAAGTGCGAAAAATTATGTCGTATGCCTACTTAATTGATTGAATGAGAGCAAAATAACTCAATTTAGTTGAATGCAATTATTATATTATAACTTAAAGCACGTGAAGTATGTTTAATTTTAAAGCTATCAACAATTGTCAGTGACAAGACACTTTGAAATTTGATTTTTTTTTTGAATAATGAGGAGTTACAAAAAACATTGCATGATGAAATGATGACTGACAACAATAATTATATTTAACTATAGGCCACTGCGTGTTTTATATATATATATATATATCGTATTTAATACAAATGTGTTACAGACACACCATTTAATACAAAATAAAACAGAGAAGCTAAAAAATCAAACCTTCCGCTACATACCTGAGCTTCTGCTGAAGTTTCTTTGGCTGTGTTTGTGCCAGCGGCTGGCAATGATGTCGGTTTGTTCGCGGAATCTGATGACGTTACAGCATCGCCATTGGCGGACGACGCTTCAGGCAATGCATCGCCCAAAGGTATGGAATTGGCCCGCCTTGGAGCAGGTACAGGTTGACCTGTAACCTTATCAATTTGTTGCTGCTGAAACTGTTGCTGGTGAGGAGCGGTTGTTGTGGCAGTCGTAAAACCATTTGTTTTCGGGGCGTTGTTACTACCAGTGACTGCGGTTGCTACCGTTGCGTTGGGTGGTATCGTAGTAATTTTATTTATTTCGTATATTTGCTGTTGCGCTGACTGCTGCTGTTGCTGAGCCAATGTCGATGCCGTTGTGGTTGGCTGCTGTAAATTAGTTTGTGCCTGCTCCGTTATTATGTCTCCGATGGAACGATTAAAGTTCGCTGTAATAGTGGAATTATAAAAAAAAAACAGAAGTAATGATCAATCAGAGTATGACACAAATTTAGCTCAACTACGCACCTGGTCGATTAGCGAGATATCCGGAAGGACTTAGAGAGTTTAATACAGCGGGACTGCGTGGACTTAATGGCGCTTCAAGGGGTCCACGATATTCACGCTGTAATACCAAACGCACAAACCGCTGCGGTTCAGTTAGACATTGCACTGCAGCATCATGACACGCATTCGTCATGTCAATTCCATTAATCTGTAAATACAATTCGCACAACCATGAAGCACTCAAAGTATACAAACATCACACACCCTACACGCCAACCCACATGCACAGCGTGTGGTAACGAAAACCGCGATAAATTGCAAACGTTAATGTATAATAGCAAAATTCGCTTTAAATGTTGACAAATGTGAGAGAAAAAAAATGGCAAGTAAATATATTTATGTGAATATATGTATTTACATATATGTACTATGAGTTTATATGCGTGTTGAAATTATTATGGCGTATGTATGTGTGCAAGTAGTGTGTCGTATTGCTATAATTGTACAGGTTTAATGCACTTACAGCCGTCACGCGGTCGCCAACCATTATTTTGCCGTCACGATGCGCTAAGCCACCTTCAGTTATGCGTGAAATGAAAATTCCATCACTGCCATCCTTAAAGGGTGGCGAGCCTTTGCCACCCGCAATGCTGAAACCCAAGCCCTGGCCGATTTGGTCACGAATCAGAGTCGTGTGTAATTGTAGGTAGCTCAAAGGCGCTTCCTGATGGAAGAAAAAAGTACAAAATAGGAGAGTATAATAAGAGTATGAAAGAAATACATTTTAGATTGTGTTTTTTTTTTTTTTTTTAATTAATAACTGGTTCTCTAATAGTTGAAAAGTTAAAAAATCTGTCTTCATGCACACATGTCACAGCCGCAATTTATGCATCGTGACACTTGCTTAGATTTCCATGAGTAGGAGTATGAGATTAAATATAATTTGTGAATTTGTATTTTAATAAAACTTTGCAACAACTACTACTAGATATACATATATGCATGTATATGTGAGCTGCACTATCTCTTTGCAAAACCATTTTTCATGAATATTCCTAAAATTTCAACAGCATAACTGACCAAGAACCTACAAAACCAACCTTGCCATTTTCCAAAATGCCATTTGTTGCTCCTACCCCAACATGTTGCGGTTGTAGCTGTTGCTGTTGCTGTTGCTGTGATAAATTTGCCGTATTTGTTGGTCCTGCTGATGTTGCAGCAGCAGTTGACGGTGTTGTAAATACATTCGCTTGATAACTGTTGAAATTTGCAGGCGGTTGTTGTTGGTGGTGCGGTTGCTGTGCTGGAATAATTTCAATTGGTGCCGGAATGACTTTTTCATGTTGCTGAATAAATTGCTGTTGCTGCACTGCTCCTACTCCTGCTGCTGCTGCTGCTGCTACTGCTGCCAATGGTCGCGCTTCTACCGATATCTACAACGAAAGAAAATTTAATTTGCAAATATTGTATGTTTAAATACAGTAAATGAAAACCAATTTGCAACATGTTTTTAACGTAACGGCAGTTCGCATTTTCACTTGGTTAATTGCATGTTTAACGACACAATTCACCGCAGCGAGCATTTAATTACGTTCAACATAAACGATCTGTCAACTTGTCAATCCCGTATGCATGTGCATGTATATGTGTATGTATTTATATTTGTAAGCACACCCACCTGTGAGACTGAGCCATCTTCACTGAAAACCGGATGTCCAATCAGACGGGTAACTTCACGCTCCACTACTAATACCAAAACGGCACCACAAGCCTTCAGCACCTGCACAGCCTGATAATGATCGGCGTCGACCACATTAATACCATTCACTTTTAGCACTTTATCGCCAACTTTCAAGCCCGCCAAATCCGCTGGGCCTCCTTCGGTAACACGTGATATAAAAATGCCTTCGTCATCGCCTTTAAAAGGAGTTGAGCCTCTGCCACCCGCTATGCTCAAGCCAAGGCCAGCAGTGGTGCGTTCAATGTGGATTTCGTACTGTTCCAAACGTAACTCTGTAAGGCCGTCAACGGCATCTGGAAAAGAAGATAAAAATAAATAAAATGAGTATTCCTTTATATGTAATAAATATATGTCTATATGTGTGTGTATATATGTATATATCTATATACGGTTGTATTAAGGAGCTATTTTAAGTTCAAACATCTGGCTGCACTTTAACATTTTTGGAAACAAATTCAACATGATGACTTTCGTTTTCATAATATCTACTGCACGCTGTCGTCGAAATATTTTAAATTACATCTGGTCTAGACTGCACAATTCTGTTTAGCTTCCAATACCTAGGGTATGCCTTGAAGAGCTATTTTTGCTATACAAGTCACGATTTTTCATTGTCTAACCACAAAAATGTAGGACATTACAACTAAAAAGGTCAAAATAACGGTTATGTAAACACACAACTATGTACATAAATATGCAAATATGTATATATGTAGCTTAGCTGTCGGCAAATTTAAAGCAAAGACATCTGCTCCTCAGTTCACCTGCTCAACTCCACACCCAACTCTAACCGGACAGCTCGATAGAATATAAACTTTTTTTTTTTCGCGACATCATTATCGTTATGGTGAATAACCACAGATGCATAACTTACCATATTGTCTATTGCGCTCCAAGTCTCCAGTGTAGGTCGTTACGATTCTAACACGTTTGTCCTTTCGCTTGAGCGAATTGCTTGGACTGCGATTTGAGGATGCGAGTGAGCTGCGTAAACTCATATTGGCCGGACTATTGCGACCACTGGTGCTGCCCAGCGAACCCGAACGCCTCGAGCGGGGAAATGTATTATCGCCCTCTTTAATTTTTAACTTAATATTGAACATTTTAACGATTTCTGCTTTAAACTTTACTTCTGATTTTCATATATGTATGTATTTTTACAAGTCATATATTTTCCTTTGCCACTTTCATGAGTATGTTTTGTAGATGCGTATATATGTATGTTGAATGCGAATATTTTGTAAATCAAAAATCCGCTTATGCGCTTCACGTATTCGATATAAACAATAATTTTTGCTTTCTATATATTTATGTATATATTCGTAAATGTAACAGATTATCTATAAACGGATACTCATATATCCGCCTATCTATCTAATGCATCATCATTCTGTAAAGAGCTTTTATCAATTTTATTATTTTGTGCAATTTCATTGAATCGTCCTCGGCAATAGAGGAAACAGTTGCAGCCAATAAACGGGAAGCTGTAGAAGGGTATGCGTACGCAATTTTATAAAATCACAAGCAAAAGAGAAAGATTTCAGAAGCAGAAATGCAGCAGTGGAAGTGCTCAAGCTCGCATAGAAGCAAGTGGCATCAGCGTACGGTATAGCAACATATGTATATACCATGTATTTATATATGTACATATATACATACATACATATGTTTATAAGTATGTGAAATAAAGTGAAACGAAGCGAAGCAAGCAAGTAAGACGTAAGAAGTCGCTGGCACTTTACAAAATATATATTTGCTTATTGGATTTTAATGCGTTGAACTGCATCGATAATAGCTTTTGAAAGTGACTACACAATTCATCGCTTAGATTGCGAGGCAGGGAAGCAGCAAGAGAAGAAAATAGTGCTTCTCCTAGAGTAATAAATCTCTTTTTGGTAAATTGTTTTTTTTTTTTATTATATGAACTAACTGTTCTGTAGCAAATCATTGTACTTAAATTTTATGGTAATTTTTAAAGTTTCAATGAAATTTTGCCCTAATGAATTTATATATTTAAAATAAGTTTTTCTTATTATGTCTGTTTAATAACAAAGTCTAATATTTTGCCTCTTTCAAAAGGATCAAAGGTCAATGGTGTTGTTATTTTTGTTGTTTTTGTAGTTGTTGTAGCATTTCACTAGCGCGCTTATGTCGAAGCTATATCAGTCTATTACATCGAGGTCATCTAACGGAAGGTCCCAGAAACGAGTTGTTTTGACGGGTTCGGTGACGAGAGGGAAAGGGCCAATATATATGTGTTGGTTTTAGAAGACATGCCAAGTGGCGGTTAATGTCGCTCGGAGACTCATTGCAATCAGGTCATACGTTCGGTATGTTGGGGTAAAGTTTGGATAGGTAAAAGTTTAATTTACTACAATATCCAGATATAATACGCGAGACGCTCGAACTCTTTCGACTGCAACCAAGGTAACATTAGTCAATGAGTTAACTTGTTTTGCCTAAAAATCGGAAATATTCTCAGTTGTAGAGAAAATTAGAGGCAGCATCATTGGTGAATTCGAAAAACCCTGTCCTCTTTGTAAAGTTGGTTGTACATTAGATAAACCTTCACCAAAACGAAGCGCACGCTAAATTTTCAAACGTATGAAATAAGCCAAGTTAATCGGCGCTGTTTTGGTTGATATCTCTAGTGGAACGGCGGGATTCAAAAGATTTATAACGAAGGACTACATGGAGACCGCGCATATGACTGATAGTCAAGCTAAGAAGACTCTAAGTGATCCCTCGACATCCCGAATTAGAAACACTCCCTATAAACTGAAATGGCCTTCAAATAATTCAAACTATTAAAAGCAGCCAGAACAGATGGAATCTTCGCCGCCCAGCTACTTAACAGGTCAAACTTGCTAGCACAACGACTTGCTTCGATGTATACAGCTTGCATCCGATTGACGTACACACCGAACAGATGGCAAGGGGATAAAGTAATTTTTTATTCCGAACATTTTAATGATTACTCAGTACCGAAATCATATAGACTAATCAGCCAAAGATCGAGTTCACATGCGGACTTTACAAGGTGGCATTATGTATCCGCTATTGAGGTTAACGCTTATAAAACAACTCTCTTTGTAACAAAAAAACTTCAGGAACGGAAGCAACGTACCTGTTTACAAGGTATAGCAGGCGCGAAGAGAACTCCCTCAAAAAGGGCACTAGAAGGTCCTTGAAACTAAGTATAACTTATGAAGCCGCACCAAGCAGCAAGACAACTAAGTATCCTTAGGTCCAACGTAGGCGTACCACTAAACTACTGTGGGGCAACGCAGATTGCAGACAGACCAAACTCTTGTTGGCACTAAGCACAAGAGAGCTTAGCCTTCTTGTAGGTGTGCTGATGGGGCATCTACAGTTAAGATATTATCTCCAAAAGCTAGGTTAGCTAAAATCGGCAGATTGTAGAGCCCGCACAGAGGAGAAAGTGACGCTGGAGCTTTACTTTTGCAAGTGATCGGTCTTCAGACGATTGAGACGTGCTCCGCGGTGCTCCGGTGGGTGGAAGTTCACTCAACAACTTAGGTGTGACAGCCTGTGGTTAGAATTTTTCTTAACCAACCTACCAACCACACAACGGAGGAAGAGAAGTTCATTACTTATACAATGTGATTTAAACCAGTAGAAGTTAGCAATTTGAACGGAATAAATCGACAATGAAAATTAATAGCAAAACTACTTGAAGGAAAGGAGAAATTACAGCGACGTTTAAATTTAATACAGAGAAAGTAAAATCTCTACATAAACTTTGGAACTTTATGGAGAGAAAATTTCCAATACAAGAAAAAAATATATTCATATATATATTGCAACAACAAACAACAGACCATGATTTTATAACCAATAAAATAAACAAATACATTTGTGCAATACAGACCATATTCAACACAATAAATCTAAAACAAATTTTTACGCCAGTCATTTTGCAATTGTGCAGAGTGAATGTCACTGAGGCGTGAATGAAGATGGTCATAAATTTGAAATCAAACAACGAAACAGCAAACAGCAGCAAGCATATTGTCCAAAAAAACGAATGACTTTTACAGCAACCATACAAAACAGGACAAGTCAGAATCACTCACTACACAGCACACACTACAAGCAAACGCAACAAGGAACACCGAGTTCTGGCGAAATATTATATATGGAATTTGTTACACCACCAAGAGATTCGAAATATTTGTATGTATGTAATAATTCGAAATATGACGAAGAACAAATTAGGATGCCTTATTTATGCAGCATTACTATCCAGTCAAGCATTGGATGTGTCGAACAGCCGGTCGGGTCAATACCTTAAATTACAGCCAAGTCAACATTTGGCCATGACTGAGTTCATTGCATTGCAGTCTTCATTGGAAAAACAGCTTGCCGACTGTGAAGCTATTTAAGTATATACATAAATTGGATGAGCACAGATATTGCAGATTTTCAAATGCAGATAATTACATTAAGCAAACGATATAAATATAAAATAGTCAATAACCGAACAGCAGCAATATGCATATTTACTGCATACATACATACATGTGTGCTATTTTTCAGTTTCCTCAACATAACTTTGATCTTACCGATGAAAAAAAAAAGTTGGATATTTAAAATATCTTATAAAAGGTTAATTACTGGATACTCAAGTGCTAAGTGATGGTCAATGCATTTACTGTTAATTAGTTGTTAAGTAATTCTTAGGCAAACTTGTGAGTAATTGAACTTCAATTAGTCACATACCAAGAGCAATAGGCAGTAAATATCGTTGCAAACGAAGAAAAAATCAAGAAATCAAGAAATTATATATATGTATGTATAAAGACCGTTGAGCATAAAATATTAGAAAATGGCTTAACATTTAAGTTTTTATATACTCCGTAAGAGCAAATAAAACTTTAAAATCGAAAATGACATTTTCTTTCACAATATTTTTAACGAATATAAAAATTCATCTGAAAACGTTAAAATTTTCTTTTGGCCCACTTTACACACTGCAATTAAGAGATATTATAACTTATGTTGTTGACTTTTCAATAAAATGTTGATTTGTGGGAAAGAAAAGAAAACATTTTTCTTCAGTGGGTAGAGGAAAGCATTGCACAAAGGAAAAGCGCGAAATGAAAAAATTTAAGAAAAAAAATAAACAACGTATAAAAGAACCAAGAAATCGTTATGTGCTCTGCTCAAATGGTACCAAATGCCTTAATATACAGAAATAAAAACGAAACAAGTGGCACTAGTAGTTCACGGAGAGTTTCGGTACTCAAAAAGAAACACACTTTCACGCGTA